CTTATTTTGCACTTTTGAATTAACATTTTTAGCAATTAAAAACAAACTAAATAAGAAACTAATGGTTTAAGTATAATGTCAGGACAATAAATATTTGCTGGAGAAAGAATCAAGTAAATTTAAACCACATGCATATTCCCTATTGCATTTGATAAAAGAACAAATCTTTAAAACCTAAAACGAACAACACAAACCACTCCTAATTAAAAGAAAATGTTTCTGCATGTCAATAATTAAAACTATTAATCGAAAATAATGGAAACAATAAACTAAATGAATGAACCTAGACGCGATTTAGTCCAGTCAAAATAAACAAATAACAAAAACTCCGACGGGGCCGAATTTTGGTAGAGACCTTGGGTACACCAATAGAAATAAAGTACCAAAAGTCCCCATAGATCCCACGTGTGCTAAAGAAGTTATTCAAGGTCAAAGTCAAAATTTTCGGTTTTCTATTTTTTTCGAAAACGGTTGAGAGGTTCCACCCTGTATATACAACTTACGACGATGCACACATTTTTGAGAGTTGGCAACCACGCAATTTTTAGGAGGGGAAAGCGATTTGCGTCATCTTGAGAGCACGAACAGGGGTTACGTTTGGCATCTCGTTTTGATTAGCGGTCGTGAACGCGTCGCTCCATAAATGTTTGTTGTTATTTTCCAGGTTATTTTGTGTCATTTAATGCAGGTAGTAATTTTTGCATTTCTTGATATCGTATTTGTGTTTTGTATGCCGCATTTTACATTTTGTGTGTTTCAATCTTTGTTTTTGAAATTTACTTGTTTAAGCGCAATGCAGAATGACATGTTTAATACCGTTATCTTTTTGATTGTAATTGTTTACGTTTTTGGTGTAAAGCTTGCTTAATTTATGTTTATTGATGTTGATTACTTGGTCTTGTCCATGAAGTAACATTCATATAAGTTTTGACATTTTATTTTATTATGTGGAAATTGCTTTGATGTATGTAGTGACTTATTGTTTGTAACTAACATTTTCTCCGTGAATGTAGCAGTCACGGGGGTGGTAAAAACTGTAATCAAATTGAGTTACGACACCTAATTCCGTGATTATCTTCGGCATTCAACTGTAGGTTCGAAACCCCGAACGAGGGGCGATGTTACCTACATTGCAGGGGCGAGAGTATGCTAATCAAAACTCTTCGGTTTAGAATCTATGTGCGATAAATGAGCTACGACTCGCTAAGTTCCATATATTTCTGCCGATAGTTGAATTTGCCTACAAGGCCATGTAATTTTCCATCTTGCTTGCAACAAAATGACTTTATTGCACCAAAGGTGAGTCACATCCTGTACCCTTCATCTTTTCTCGGAATTTAGATACGTGATACCTTTAGTGTAGCCAACATTGTGTACTATCTTCGTTAACTAGTGCTCAAACTTTTACAAATTTTAAAAATTATTTTGTAAACTAACTTTTGGACTG